AATGCGTCTTCTTAATTTATGCGTGACGTCAATAGTAATATTACCTCGAGGATCATATATATATATATAGGTAGTGTAAACTTAAATTCTGCTATCGTCATTTTATAATAAGATGCTAATGTCTTATTTTGTTGACTGTCGAATTTATTGCCGATACTATATGGTATATTAGAATGTTTGTACTAAATCTAATAACAGAATCAAAAGTGCTAACTTGGCCACCATTTTAATTATATTTGCCTTTTCTAAATTTATTATTATTGACTTACCACCTCATTATCATCTGACAGGCATAAACTTATAATTTTATATGGAACTATAAACGTCATTTTTAAAAAGACATTTAACTAACATTTTTTAATGTCAAGAATTTTAAGAAATTAATTTTGTATCTACAATTAAACAAGAATCTACATCAACGAGAAATCACTATCTCGTTAGATATATTACTTAACTGTGCTTTTATCTATAAAACTTTTATCTATAAAAAAGGAACTGAACAACTGATACATAGAAAATATTAATTAATTCATTAATACTTGAAAAAAATTAATGGAAATAGACATGTAACTTTCAGATATAATATAAATATAATATAATATAATATATATGGTTTTTAAAAAAACATGTATGTAATTTGCAACATGGTGCTGCATATTTATTTCAAAGCAACTTGTGTTTTCTCTACACCAATTGATTTACTTCATTATTTTGCATGAAAGTATTAAGGTAAGATTCTAGGTATTAAGGTAAGAATCGAAAACTGAATATTTTACAAGATATTTTGTATTTTATATAAAAATACTTGCTGAAAATTACTGTAACTCGCAGAGCCACAACGCGCTCCCTAATGAAAATAAACTTCATTATAGTGTTTTAGAAAGCTCTTGAGTAAAGCTACAAGAATACACAATAAAATTTTAATTTTTTTCCATTTAAAAAATTAAAAGTGATCTCTATGTGATCCTCAAATAATTATTCAAGATTCAAATTAATTCAAATTAATGGCACCGTCCCCCTCGAAATCATATAACTTTTGTCTGAAATTCAGACATCATTTTTCATCATTTTTTTCATATTTTCTATATTTTTTGAGATATTTATCCGGGGCAATTGAAGCGAAATATACAGTATATGGATACATACGGCCGAGATGTTGGAGGGTGCAACTACGGAAAATCGACATGTCAGGAAGAGCGTAATGCAACCATCGTACACCTTTACATCCCTCCGCCGGCGTTTGCAGATGCACGTCCGATTTTGTCCCGCGTTCCGCACGTTGCAGTGCCGCGCACGTGTTATCTTACGCGTGCCATCGGCTCGATTGTGCATAACGTTCAGCTCTATGCCCGCCGGTGTTTCTTGCTCTATTGGCCCAATCGCACGCGCCGGCAGTGTAATTTATATCGTTGCGCGCGCGAGACGTAACGACGTTCCTAAGCACGCATTATGCCAGACGAGAGATTCAACGTGCGCGATATAATGCCTGCGGTCGCCGAACGGTGTCTTTACAACGGACGCACGCGAGCTATCCTGAATTTCTTTTGCCCTCGCTCGCGAGTATCCCCCGCTGCGTGATATCGGGACCAGTCCTCCGTTTCCTTCCCTCTTGACTTTTTTCTCCCCAGCCAGTACGTTGATTCATCGCGGTACATCGCGTCTCGCGTGGCACTAATCTACCGAGACGACGACGTCACATACGGAGAGGACACAGGAGTCGCGATCTTCATCTAGAAAAAAAGCTGCAAGCTGGATGAAAAGCGTAACGATACCTGGCAACGTTCTTGTAGTAAGAACTCAGATTACCTTTTTCTCGCAAAAAGAGAAGACGAAGTATCATTATTTGATGCGTTACATCATCTCTGATGTAAAAGCGCCGTGTATTTTCAGAAAGCCATTTCACTCGGACCGAAATTTTACTGCTCAGCTTTTAAGCGGAGAGCGCTAAGCTTTTTAACGGCAAGTCGCGCTTATCCGGCGAGAAATAATAAAGATAAAAACGTGTGAAGAGCAAACATCTTCCTCTATCGAGGTAACTAGTTTTACGAGTCAAACCGCGCTCGAAAGTTACAAATGAAGAAGACGTTTCTCGCACGACCTGCCGTGCAATTCGGCCAATCTGTGCATCCATTTTCCAGTGACAAATCATCGTGATTTAGACGCGGTGCGAACCGCGTACGCGTCCATGTGTCACGCACGCGAATTATTTCGTAACAGTGTCAACGGTCATGGTCAATGGACAGGGGCGATCACGAAATAATGGTAGAAAGCAACGATTTCTAGACAATGACATCAATATCGCGGAGGTCCGTTTCTCATCGATTCGGAATGTAGAAAGGAACGCAGCATCGATGATTCGATTTAGATTCCATTGTGCGTGACAGGATGTGCGTAAATCAGTGATTTACAGTCGATTCGGGCTGATTGTTATCCGAAGCGTAGCCTGAATGGACCATAAACCGATTCCCGTAATGGCGATCTACGAGGAAAAACACCAAGGCGAAACAAGCTCGATGAATACGTTTATGACATGTTGCGTGAAGGATTAATTTATTCATAAATGTGACTCCGCGTTTAAAGAGGCCCCTCGCATTTATTTTTGAAAAAAAAAAAAAAAAAAAATGTTAAGGATGATCGCGACGAAGTCGAAAATTAATGAGAGGGAATATTTGTACTTTACGCGCGGTAAGATCGATAAGTCCCTCGCGAAAGTAAAAAAAACGAGAATTAGCTTCAACTTACGAAATGTATACGGAAGCGCGATCGCACTTAAGTTACAACGCCATTAAGTGTTATAAATGCGTCCGATCGGTCGTGATCGTTCCGGTGTGTCTCATTATCGGTGCGTCGTTACAAAATTCGAGGCCGAGTCCGAAA